GAAACGCAGATCATAATCTCCTACTATCTAAGAGTGACGAATCCTTTTTTGATCAATCACAACCTTCATACGATTCTTGACGTGCCCGAACGATGTCGTATTAGCGGCCCTTTTCAATTTTGACAATTCAATTTTGAATTATCAAAAACTATATGCTTGACCGTTGGTATGATGTTGTCACTAAGCGGTAGGTAAGATAACTCCTATGATCTTATCCACCATGGGTAGGAGATCATTTCTATTTAAAGTTAACCAAACATGCTTACAATAAAAAAAGTGAAATAAATTTCTTGGAAAAATTAAGATAAAACAAAAAAACAAGAATAATTTTCATTAAGGAAGGAAAAAAAAACATATAAAACAGTAAGTAATTAGTTTGTTCCTAGCATACCTTTGATCCCACAAACAATTAGAAATCTTAATCTCGACGAAAAATTCTCAATGTTAAATTATCAAAAGTTATATACTTGATCATTGATGTGATGTTGTCACTCAATGGTGAGTAAGATAACTTCTATTCTCATTTCTATTTAGAAGTTAGAGAAACACTAGTTGTCTAGGGCCAACGTGGCCCTGGACTAAATTTCTGGGAAAAATTAAGATAAAACAAAAAAACAAGAACCATTTTCATTAGATAGAGCAATGATTTTTTTAATGTGTCCAGCAAGAAAAAAACATATAAAACCGTAAGTAATTAGTTGCTCCTAGCATAGTGCCTTTGATCCCACAAACAGTTGGAAATCTTAATCTCAACGAAAAATTATCCATCATTCCACATTGTAAAAACAGATGGATTTGAATCTTGACCCGCAGAATCTCCTGACCATCCAGTGTAAGTAGTAGCAGAAGGCATATCATAATCAACTTTAACCAGTGCAAGTTCTTCAGCTGAACCCCCTCCTGCAGAAATGGAGTTCATTTCAATCCCATTTCCAATGTATCCTCCACTGTAACTTCCAGTACTTGATCTTCCATTGTTGTCTATAACGAAAGACGACGATCCCACGTTCATCAACCCGTGGAGTAAAACTGGATTATTTTGAAAATAATGGCTGTAGAAGGGATTATTCTGGTGCATATTAAAAGAAGAATTCGATTGCTGGTGTAATTGGAGTTGCGTTTGGATATAGCTTTGGTACTGAGATTCTTGATTGTACAGGGATAAATCCTGGTTTTGTAAAGTTAGTAAAGGCTGTGCATTTTCAAATGGCTGCTGAATTAGTGGGTAATTAGCCTGCAGAGGGCCTGAGCTTGAGCTTCCATACTGAATATTTGAGCCTAAAGTTATCATTTCTTCGCGCTTTCTTGAAGATTCGATTGCTTGAGCTTCCTTGAGGCGTTTCGCAGCACCCCCTCCAATTGGAAGACTGTTGCTTTCTAGAATGGATTTCACGTCATAACGATTCATTTCAAAGTTTGTAACTGCGTTAAGGCCTCTGAACTTTATTGCAGCAATGTCGTATGCTTCTGCAGCTTCCTCCTCAGTACCTGCAAAAACATTCATTTTATGCTTAAGGAGGTCATGATTTTATTACAACGTATCGACTGTCACGTACCTACTCGACTACATATCGACTTAATATTCGTACTGCAGAGGAATTTTGAGGATTTGGTTTTTTAGCGTGTGAAGCATGAGATCACCTTGGACCACAATGAACTTGTGTTTGCAGTTTCTTATTTATTATTGCTCTCGTAAGTACAGATTACAGATTAATCTTGAACATTTCAGATAATTTCAAGTTTGATGGAAAATTAATTTAATGCTTTATGCATGCATGATGCATAATAATCAAATTGCTTACTGAAAGTTCCCAAGTAAAGATCTTTGTTTCCAGCTACTCTTCCAATTCTCGCTTGCCATCTTCCATGCTGATGATGCCTACTCACAGGTACCACTATGAGAGATCGATGAAGAGATAGAGAAATACAGATACGCGCTAGAGAGAGAGAGAGAGAG